TTCGTGCCATGCCCATACATAGCCCTCTTGCAGCACGCTTCCATTCCGAAGTAGTGCAGTGTCGCCCACACCTGCACCTTTAGGCCAACGGACCCTTGCTTGCATGGTTGAACCAAAGCCATGCTCACAAGTCGACACATGATGCCCATATAACATGTGCGTCAAGTATCCAATCGGCACGGAGGTCTCGTTCCAACATTCGGCAGCCCGCGGGGCTGGCCGTTCCACACATCGAGCCTCCAGCACCACTTTGATGCCCAACGCTAGCCCGAAGGCGTTGCGCCATCCATGCGAGTTTCCAAACTCGTGTGGATACCTTTGACACTCCTTTGAGTCATCTAGGCAGGCCCTTGGGGTTGCCTCCAAGGCAGCTCGTTCCATACGGCTCGGTGGCAGCACATATGGAGGAGGCAGGTCGGAGCTTTTATCACCTATACCCCCTTATATATGCTTAAAATTAAAAAGCTCAAGTTGCCCGAGTAGACTGCTCTACGTCAGACCATCAGAAGGACCTTTTCTCACCAGTTCTTGGCCGAAATCACAACTCCAAAATACGAGTTGTGACAGTGACACTAACATACGTAAGAAATAATGAACTTGACAACAAACATGTACAATAGAAAGCTATTTGGTATTAAAGTATTTAAATATTCTTCTTCGTAGTAATTGTTGGTATCATCTTTTGCTGAGTCAAAACTGAAAAATATTTTATTTTTACCATAAAACTTATCAATCAATCTTTTATTTAGTTGATCAACATATTCATTTTTGCTAGTTAAGATAGCTCTTTAATTTCTATTATGTAATTTTCACAAATTGCGTTTTAATCGATGGAAATATTTTCCTTATTAAATGCACTACTATTACTATTGGGATTGATAACCAAGTATTCTAAAAGAACCAAATCATCTTTTATTGGATACTCTTCTTCGTTTCCGACACGAATCAATAAGTCACTGAATGTTGGATCTGTTATTACTTTTATATTTCTTGTCATTTGAATACTTTTCATTTGAGACCATAAGTATAATTTTGGCAAGTTAGCTTTTAAAATTTGTGCTTTTGTCAATTTGGGAATTAATGATAGTACTTGAGAGAAATCACCTCCCAAACTATTACTTTTTCACCAAGCGGTCATTGATATCCAATATATCTCTAAAACTCTGGGTAATTATTTTGATCGTTTGACCAGCCAAAAGCGCTTCATCCCATATTATCACTTTTGCTTTCCTTATAAATTTAGCATGATTGCTCTGTTTTGATATACTTGTGATCGTTATTTCAGTTATTTGAATAGGTATATCAAATCTAATCGTCTTCTTGAGCCGGGGGTCTTTCGAAAAATAACCTCTCTAATCTTCGGGGTGGGGATAAGGTCTGCGTACACCCTACCCTCCCCAGACCCCATTTGTGGGAACTCACTAGGTTATTGTTGTTGTTGTTGTATATGAAATCTAAAGTAAGTTGTACGACCTCATAATAAAATTGTTGTCGGTACACCACTTGTTCTTATTGCTAACAATATCATGCCTCTTGATCTGACATTTGCAAGTAATGCATGACATAGGAATATTATTTTGATTCCGCCGGAGGCAACTACAAAGGATAATCCTGTTATACCAAAGTCGATATTTTAAAATATCTCTAACACCCTTTATATGGAACAAATTTATGTAATTTTTTTTAACTTAAAAAAAAAGTTACTCATATAATGATGTTAAAAAATAATTTAATTGGGTTCTAAAGATTTGATTATTTGGTTTAAACATAAAAAATAATTTATTTTTTTGTTGACTCAGATTCTTAATATTAGTTCATATCATGTTTGAATATTTAACCACAATTATAATTTTATCCACCATATATTTTATTTTCAAAGAGTAAAAAGATCGATCTGATATTTTACTTTTAGATTTTTATGTTTGCAAAATCATTAGTGGTATTTACTTTTACCAACCTTTTTCTTTCTCATTCTCACACATTTATATTCTTAAAAAATTTCTTAGTTGTTCTTTAATAATTTGGTATATTTATTAATATTACACAAAAAATTAATAATAAAAAAATTATTTGAATAGGAGAGCAGTTCAAATATAATATAATAATATATTATCGTAAGGATTGTTTCTCAATTTCAACGCTTTAAGCAGTCCATTTAACATTATTATTTTTTCTTGGTATTGGATATTATAGAGTGGTAATGTATTACAAATATAGAGGATTCTTATGAAATTGATTTTATTAAACCTTCCTACATATTTGTAATAAGAATTCAATAGACAAGATTGTATTAATGTTAAAATCTTAAATATTAAAAAAATTTAACAAAGAAGTTATTGTAATCCAAAAAATAAGTTATTACAGTTATGTCCTTTCCTTATGAGTTCTTCTGTTTAATATTTTAGGGCTATTTTGGCCTATCAATATTGTATTCATGCTTTTATAATAATAATATATAAGCTCTCCTGTTTCTAAATAAATTTGGACAATATAATACCTTTTCAAATTAAATTAGTAGTAGGGAATTTTTAAGAAGTATATCCTAAAAGTACTAGGATTACATGGCTAAAAATATGTCCATATCCCGAAAGTAATTATACTAATATGAAATCTAACGTGTTCCTAAAGGTATTAGGTTTACATGCTAACATATAATATTATATATCTATGCCCGAAAAAAATTATACTATTAGAATTCCTAAAGGTAATCATGTAGGATTCCTAACGTGTAGTATTATGTCCTAAAACTAAAAGGATTACAAGGCTAATGTCTAGAATTTCGATTATGTCCTTTTATTGTGAGTTATTATGCTTAATATTAAAAGGTTATTTTTGTAAACCAACATTTTATTTATGCTTTTATAAACCAACATATAATAATAATTATAATAATAATAATAATAATAATAATAATAATAATAATAATAATAATAATAATAATAATAATAATA